GAAAAGATAGCTTGGCCCCAAAAGGACAAAAGATAAATCAGAGAATGAGGTTAGTGGGAAATAAGGGTGTATTTGTTCATTGAATAAGTTTCCTAGGTGCAGAGGTGATGCTGGTGGACAATTCCAAGGGTCTGGCCTTCATGGAACTTACTCTGTGGTGAATCATATTTTGCTGTTGGGGAATATTTTGCCCTTGAAAGAATGATAGGAAGAGCGCAGTGTTTCCCTAGGTTGAACTTAAAAACAAGTTTTGGAGCAGTAGGAATGATTTGAATTCATCCCTTCCATCAAAAAAAAAAAAAAAGAAAGAAAGAAAGATAGTTGAGAAGTTGCCCAAGATCTAAATGAGTACAGGATAAAGAGTATCTAGATTGCAATTCTTGTAAGTCCGTATGTGGTGAACTATTTAAACATATGGCGCTAGGTGGCAGCAACACACTATCAGATGGTAGGATAGTCTGAAAGCCCTAGCTGATAGGTGGAAACTATCCAGGGAAGAGCAAGTTGCAGATCCATGTTGTTGTTGTGTGCCCTTGAGTCAATTTCAACTCATAGAGACCCTAAATGAAAGAGTAGAACTGCCCCACAGGGGTTCCAGGCTATAATCTTTACGGGAGCAGATCGCCAGGGCTTTTCTGCCTTGGAGCTGCTGTTGGGTTCAAACGGCTGATCTTTCAGTTAGCAGCCAAGTGCTTAAAAATTCCACCACCAGGGCTTCTTGTAGATCCATACTACCCAGATAGAGAAAACACACACACACACACACACACACACACACACACACACCAGAAAACCCAAGTTAGCAACACATACTCAAAATGACAGATTATAAAGACAATGATATGTATGTTTACTTTATGTTAAGCTTTTAAAGCTTTTTATTTTGAAATAATTTGTTAATTCCTATATAGACTTCACTTGGATTTCCCCCAAATCTTAACATTTTACCACATTTGATTTTTAACTCTATCTGTATATACATATACACAATCTTAGATTTCTAGTGCTGTTGTAACAGAAATACTACAAATAGGTGAGGTGGCTTTAAAGAACAGAAATTTATTTTCTCATAGTTCTGGAGGCTAAAATTCCAAATCAGGTTGATTTCTTCCTTGTCAGTAGCCCCACGTTTTCTTGGTTCTTGACGATCCTCACGACATCTGTCTTCCCCGTATGTGCTTGTCTGTCTCTGTGTCTATGCTGCTCCTTATATAACTCAGAAGTGATTAGGTTTAGGATCCACCTTACAATGGTATGACCTGAACTGATTGATTGATTGATTGTATTATATTAGATTGCATTATGGAATGTGATTACATTACATTACACTCACAGGTATAGGGGTCAGGACTTCAGTACGTATTTTGGGGGAACACAGTTCAATCCATAACATTGACATAATTATTATTGTTTTCTGAACTGTTTGAGAGTAAGTTGTAGACAGATGCCCCTTTACTTGTACATAACCATGTTATAATTATCAAGATCAGGATATTAACACTGATCCAATATTATTATTTATAGACTTTAAAAAATTTACCAATTGTCCCATTAATAACCTTTATGGCAAAATGAATTTTATTTATTTTTTTATTTCCTGTTCTAAGATCCAATTCAGAATCAAATATTCCTTTAGGTTGTAATGTCTCTTTCATTTATACTTTTAACAGTTTAAAGAAAATTGTATAAGGATGTATAAGGAAGAGAAAGAGAATAATAATCACAGTATCATTAACATTCTGTAGTCAATAGTAGACTCTAATACTGTTTACTAAAATTGATCAGGGTGAATTGATAAAAACAAAGAAATGTTACAAAATTCATTGTATGAAAAAGACATAAAACATGCTATAAACATTATGCACACATAATAGTGTTAGATCTCTCAAATTCTTTTAATGGCCACTTGAAAAATTATCTAAACAGAACAAGAAACTTGCTGCTTTGCTGACTTAATTATAAAATGTGCTTAAAATTCATGTGCATAGAAACTTATTGTTCATTAGATCGTTGTGAATATAATACCTGCACTTTTAGACTTTTTACTTTGTATATTCTATCATAAGCTTCTTATTTGATCACGTAATTGTTCCTCAGCTGACTTAATTTTTTCATATCCAGGGGATGGTCTTACGGTTCCAACAAAATTTAGCCTAATTGAACGGCAAGGTGAGATAAAAGCATCGTTGGATGGGAAACCAAGGACTGACATTGCTGCTTTTGAAAATGGAGGTAGGTTAACTTATTACTGGTTGACTATGACCACATTACTTTACAGATGATAAATTAATCTGAATTTTCTCTCTCATAATTATTTTGTTTAATATTTTCCTTTTTTTGGCCTATTTATTTTTGTTAAACATAGAGAGTCTACGTATGTGTTACCAAGTCAGATGCTCTCTGAGGTCAGGGTCTCACCAAATGCTTTGGGAAGTTGCACTCGGTGTGCGAGACATTCCATTCTTTCATATATGAGAAATCTTCCAGGGTGTGCGTGTGTGTGTGTGTGTGTGTGTGTGTGTGTGTATGTAGACACAAATCCAGGCTATAATAAATGCAGGTTTTAAGTAAATGCTATCATATACTATCACAAAGCTGTAAACAGATGAGGCACTTAATAATTCCTTGTTTATTTGAATATGTCTATATAATGCAGCTTTATTCAAGTATATTGTATCATTTATGCCAAGGCATAACATCCTTATTGTGTTGTATAGCTCAAATGTTTTGGAACTGCTTCCTAGAATCCTTTAACAGAAAATTGTAAGCCTTTGTTTTAAAAAAATAGAGACTTTTTTGAAGAGGAAGGAGAGTGTGGTTAGCAGGAAGAATGTGTGTGAGGAGGAAGGAGAAGGTTACTAAAGGGTATCAGTATATACCAATGTGTTGACACACACTAGTGATGCTTTTCACAGTTACTGCTTCATCCATTTTCAACCATTCTCTTCTGTCTACAATTTTTTCAGGTACAAAATAATTTGATTCTTTCCTTTCCTTTCTCTTTTATCCACTGCAGAAATTTTAGACTAGCTATCATTGTTTGGTTGCCTTGAAGCAATAAGCTTTAGCTATAAGTAAGAAACATTGGAGTTTACACTGTCTATATGACCTAGTGGTGAACAAAACTGGGATCCACCTAACATAACCAGTTATAATTGTACATTTTGGTGAAATATTATTATATCATATTGCCTTTTCGGTTAATAAAAGGTTATTTTCCATAACTGAGAAATTGGTGCTTTCATCTAAGAAATAATATTTTCTTTTTTTTGTGACATCAGTAATGTATTTCCTACTTTTAGGGGACTTAGAAAATATGAGAATGCCATTATGCTTTTGTTAATCTGTCTAATAACATTGTTAGAGTAATAAGTTGGGTAAACAACCATACCAAGAGTAGGTTAAAATTTCTCCATCCTCTCGGATACTAGGTTTCTGGCATAATCAGGCGTGTTAATTCTCCAGGCATTGTAATGTTCTCTATGTCACTAAATAGCATGAACTCCTTGGTTCTTATACGTATGTATGAGAGCAATGTAAATATATTTAGATCACTGCATTGATAAAGCATCTTCAGAAATTGAAATCATAATTATTGAGCCCATATTAAATTTGAAGAAAAGCTCTTGAGACATTCTTTTTAGTCTTAATACTATCTAAGTGTTTTATTAGGATTTAACTTACATAAGTATGCAAATTGAGAATGTATAGCTTGATGAATTTTACGTGTGTATGTCCATGTATCCACATTTACTGCACTGCAGGAGGCTCCCTTTATCCAAGTCAGTTACCCCCTTTGAAACTACTCTGATCGCTGCTACATAGGTTCATTTTGTATTTCTTGACTTTAAGTAAGTAGAAGTGTATAGCTTGTCCTCTTTTATATTTGGATTCTTTTACTCAATACTATTTGTGTGAGACTAATTTTTCTTTTATGGATCATGCTTTTGGTGTTATACCTAAAAAGTCATTGCCAAACCCAAGGTCACTTAAATGTTATCCTGTGTTATCTTCTAGAGCTTGTATTGTTGTGTGTCTTACATTTAGGTCAAGTCCTCTGTGAAAGGTGTAAGGTCTGTGTCTAGATTCTTTTTTTTTGACTTGTGGATGTCCAGTTGTTCCAGCACCATTTGTGTAAAAGACTGTCCTTTCTCCATTGAATTGTGTTTAATCCTTTGCTAAAGATCAGTTGACTATATTTGTGTGAGTCTATTTCTGATGATCTCTATTCTGTTCCATTGATCTGTGTATCTATTCCTTCATCAATACCATACCATTTTGATCACTGTAGCTTTATATTAAGTCTTGGATTTAGGTAGTGTTAGTCTTCCATCTCTGTTCTTCTTCAGTATTGTGTTGACTATTCTGGTTTTTCTGGGTGCCATTTTTAAGATGGTTATTGGAAACAAGTATTTTATGTTAAGAAAAATGTAACTTGCATGGTAATGAATATGGAAATTACATATATAAGTAACATTTAAAGCAATTCTGGATATTTATCCTGAAAAATAGGAGACTTTAAGGGATATAAAAACTGATTTCATATATCTAAATATGATATATGGAAATAAATTATATTTGCACTGAGTGACTCTACAGGGTGGAGGTAAAGATTGTTATAAGCTAAAGGAAAGTTAATTTTTGACAAATATATGAATTTTCTTGTAATTATTTGTATCTAAACATTTGTTGTTGTTGCTGTTAGCTGCAAT